TATAAATTGATGCCAGGCATGGTAGCTCATGCCTTTAATCCCAGCACTCCAGAAGCAGAGACAGGTGGATCTTTGTGAGATTTGTGAGAATGAGGCCAACCTGGTCTACATAGCTGGTAAATTCCAGGCCAGCTATGGCTACAGGGAAACTCTGTTTCAAAAAATGTTTTTAATTTTCTTTAATTTGCACCTTAGACTTCATGCAACTCTGCTCTGAAAATATATTTATTTAATTGAATAATTCCAAACTCAATAATATTTCTTAAAATTCTCAAACATGTAGATTTTTTATGCTTCATATGGGAGAGTAACCAATTGTATTTGATTTAACTCAAATAATATACTAATAGCAATCTCATTTTCCTGTGAAAAAATATAAAAGTATTGCTTTAACCCGTGTGTTTTTCTTGTTAGTATTTATACATCTTAAGAATAAAGTGAATCTTAAGAATAAAGTGGATTAGGAAAGGATTAGTGTCAAACATTCCTATTATTTATGTCCTTCAAAACACCAGTACAAAGGCATGTCTAGCATCTCTCTGAGAAGAATCAAAATATTGTGTAGTATAAACTGAAATGTTGAATACTGATATAGAAAATTAGGCTGTCTATATAATACTTATAATTTCAATGTGCCAACAAGGAGCACATTTTTAAAATTTGAAAGGAGCAGATTTTTAAAAGAACCAAAACTCATCTGTATTATTTATATATATATTGTCTTTTTGAAGCAGGGTCTCCCTGTAGTCCCAGCTGTCCTGGAACTTACTATGTAGACCAGGCTGGCCTTGAACTCACAGAGATCAGCCTGCCTCTGCCTCCCAAGTGCTGGGACTGCAGGCGTGTGCCACCATGCCTGGCTTGTTATTATATATTTTTATTCTGCAGGCTTTCCACAAAACCTGATCTTAGTGATTCTGAGCCCACAACACAAAAGGTTGACTACAGCTTTAATACGGAGGTAAAATTGTGAAGTTAATTTTCTTGTTCCGAATATGGATTGTTTTAGCATTTATTCTTAACTCTTATTTTGCACTAAAAGTTGATCAGAGAAAGCCTTCTAACTATAGTTAGTTGATTTGTTTCTTCACTTTGAACTGTCACAAAGGGGTAGTAAGTCTTCTGAAGGAGTGGGGATCGAATGGAGAAATAAAATAGAAAAGCAGTTACAGAAAGGCTAAACTAGGCAAACTTTCCCACACTAAAGTAAATTTGAAATTTGGGGGAGAATATATGGAACAAATAAATATATCTTCCTGTGATTTTTAAATCATAGTAATATGACTTTTTGGGGAGGGGTCTCAAAAAGATCCCCCCAAAAAGAGATTTATTTTATTATTTATGTGTTTGAATGTGTGTATGTGCATGTGTGTGCTGGTGGCTAGAAGGCCAGAGGAGTGTTGGATCCCCTGGAACTGGAGTCATCAGTAGGCCACCTGATGTGGATGCTGGGACCCCAAACTTGGGTCCTCTGGAAGAGCAGAAAGCTCTCTTAACCACTGAGCCATCTCTCCAGACCCCTGTCATGTAGTTTTCAGAACGTCTCTACTTCTATCCTTGCTTCTGTTTTTAGACTAACAAAAAAAAAAAGTGGGAATTCACACGTTTATAATAAACTTAAGAAAATTTGCATTAGAAAGGGGTTATACTGTATTTTCCTAAATCATTCCCCTCAGAGTGTGTTTGAAATTCTTCATCTGACAGAATAGCACTTGCTTTACACAAATAACAACAGATTTTCTCAGAAATAGAGATTAAGTGAGTATATGGCAAATTTTTAATTTGATAATTCTTTCATACTCAATTTTGTTTAGTATTCAGTCAAATTCCTAGTATCATGCTGTGACATTTAAAGTTTAGAAGGCTTTTACTTATTTAACTATTCATTGTGGATCTCCTGCCAAAACAACTTGTAGGCAACAGAGAATCTAAAAGTTTTGGATATCAGAAACATTTGAATACATTTGACTGTGAATACAGTCAAAGCAAATGGTTTCTGGAACTTAGTTTTATAAGAAATACACTGTACGGGCTGTAGAGATGACTCAGTGGATAAGAGCACTAGCTGTTCTTGCAGAGGACCGAGGTTCAATTCCCAGCACCCACATGGAGGCTAAAACTGTCTATAACTCCAGTTTCAAGGGATCCAACACCCTCTTATGGCCTCCATGGGCATTGCATGACACAGGTGCACTTACACACATGCAGGCATAACACTCATACACATAAAATATAAATAAAATTAATGAATAAATAAAATTTAAAAAGAAATACAATATAGTTTATACCAGTGATTAAGCATATAATTTTTTAAAAATATGCCTTAAATTTATTATCCTTATTAATGTTCAAGACGTGTAATTTCAGGTGACTTATTTTGATGAACTATGCCATGAGTAAATGGGAATAAATTAGAGGAATGTCATAAACACAAAGAAGGTTAACAACATATTCTTAGTGTTCTTCAACTGTGACCATCAATTAGAATTTTAGATGAATATTTCTTAAACATTTTAGCCATACCTCCCAACCTCCCATTACTAAATGTATCTTTTCATATTGTACGCCACCTTTAAGCCTTCTGAGGAACAACTCTTTTTCCAGGTGAAAAGCTGAGGAGGGCATGTCTTTAATCCCAGCTCTCAGGAGGCAGCCCCCTGAAGTACTTTTTTAAAAAGTAATTGTAGCATAAGAAAAATAAGCATTACTTACAACATAATAACAAAGGCATTAGCTGTAGCCATACATCCTGTTATTGGTTATTGGACCCAGTGCCATGTTTGGTAGAAAATCCATGTTCCCTGAGCCACTGCCTGAGCCCTTCAGAAGATTCTTAATCTGTGTCACTTAATAAAGAAAGTACACTTTATACAGTAACATCCTTTAAAATGTAGGCATTACATTTTTTCTGTAGAAAATTTTATCTTTTCAAAGTAATAGCATGTTATAGAAACACATGGGCACTTCTGATGAGCAACTTTACAGTTTGTGATATTTTCTGAGAGTCAGTATCTGTTTTCAGAGAAGGTACTCTCTGAAAAAGTACTTCAGGGGGCTGGAGGGGTTAAGAGCACTGGCATAGGACCCAAGCTCAATTCTCAGCACCCACGTGGTGGCTAACAATCATCTGTAACTCCAGTTCCAGGGGAATTTGACTCCTTCTTCTGAAGGGGAAAGAAGATAACCAAGAGAGTCTATGAAACTATCTCTGGAAGATGATTTTTACCATGTTCAAAAATCTCCTCCAATAGTCATTTTATATCACTTTCAGCAAACTTCCCTGACAGTAGTATTTATTGCTTTTTTTCTTTTAGCTCTGTCATTTGAACCCAGGGCCAAGTGTATGTAAGGCTAGTATTCTCTCACCCAGCTGGACCCCACCCCCAGGATCTACAATTGAATCTTACATAGAATTTCTTTCAACTTTGAAACTCGGGAATCCTCTGAATATCTTCCCAGTGTCACCACCTATTACAGGTTTTAGGTCGAAATTGCCAAGTATTTGAAAAGTATCTTGAACTGGCTCAGCAAACTTACCTAAGTTACTCCATTTTGTTCAGAGCCATTTTAGCAGCAAATTTGCTCCACACCAAAAGGAAAAGGGGGACAACCTTGGGTCTTGGGAAATTGTCCTAGCCATGAACCATGGAATGTGCTAATTCCAGACATCTGTAACTCACTTTCTATTTTAGGTCTTCTTGACACAAAGTATAAGACCCCCCTGTTATCGTATGACCACCCAGTAACTGCTGATTTCAGCTTTCTTACTATATTTGTCATG